AAGGCACCCTTTGGAGGTCGGGCACCTTGACTGTCGGATTGCATGCTTACAGCACAGGGATTCAACACCAGCGCATTCTGGCAGTGCTATTGCCGTGCCTGCATCGGTGACGAGGGAGCGAGGGGCGGTCGGTGCTGCTTGCATCGCTGTTCTCAGAAGCGGTCCTCGTGTTTTCGATCATTTGTCGCACTAGGCAGGCGTCCGGCAGGCAGCAGGCTAGTGGGTGCAGAGCAGTAGCAGCTTGAAGCCGTGTCTCGGTGATTCGGTCACGCACTTTTATGCAGCACTCCGGACCGCTCGGCGCCCGGTATACATTGCCTTTGTTTCATTTGATGCCTCGCACTGGCTACATTTACTGGTTTCACCGAACTGATCCAATGCTGAGTGTCATTACGGACGGGGTTCTGAGCAGCGCCTGCCCGGCAGTTCTGTCTGGGCGCAATTCGTGTGCTCTGAAATTTCATACTGTCTTCGGCAATTCCGATGCGTGGCTGTGATTTCGACAGATGCCGATGCTGCTCGGCAAATTTAGTTACTGGCAGCTTTTCCGAGTCGATTTTAAGCTCCCCTGATTGCCGAACCACCTTTGGGGACGAGACCCCAGCAAACTTTGCTTGTTTGTGTGTGTTTTTTCTCGAATCTGAGCCGAACTGATGGGACTAGACGCCTCAAATATTTCTGTGCATCACTACGATGTGCGCCGATTTTAAAACTAAATTTTTTGTAGCGGGGATATGTGTACCAGATTTGTTGCGGCCTGGACCACTGGTTAAATGGCGACCTGAAATGGGAATGTACCAGGACGCTAACTGTAAAATGTGCAATTGTTGTATCCCCAATACCTGTAAAGTTTGTGATGTGCAAAGCTAAGTGCCGAAGTGGTAAGAGAGCCGCGGTTCTTGGGGCTGGCAGAACGTTGCTTTAGTTACTGTCCTTAGAATGGAAGCACCTGATGCAAGGCAGCATAACGTGTACTCTTTGCGTTCACTAATTCACTCCCAGTTGTTGGGCAGGACCGTCCGCTTTTTCTCTTCCCTCTTTTTAGACGTGGCATGTCCTAAAGTTTAGAAGGTGCCACAACTGCAGCCCGGAGTTTGGCTCATGAATGTTTTGAATTTAAAGTCAGCACTGTTGTCCGGAACAATTCAGAAAGGATGATTTAGAATATGTCAGATTCTGATGCTTCGCCAGGC